CTTCCATTCCCATATATCCCTTGGCTATTTGGGTCACCAGGACAAACATCTGTGAGCCCAGTTGCAGATAACCCTTGAAGTCCCATGAAATGCAGTTGCTGAACAAAAGCTTCTGTAAGCAAGACAGAAGTCAGTATTGAGAATACAGCACAGAACCAGAACAGAGGAATAAAGAATAGAAAGGAAAAATACCAAAGAATGCTCACTTGCATTCAAGACACTTTGAAATAAATTAACATTAAAAGCTGTGCAGTAATTCACCTCACACAGAATGAAAGATTTATATTTAAAAATAAAGTTAGTAATGCCTTCTGCAATAACTCCACATCTCAGCATTTAATCTTGGAAATATGCTCGTTCTCCCAGATAACAACAACGTAAATAATATCCTACAGTTGGTAGCAGCAAAGTGACTCTTTATTCTCTCAGTGGGAGTTTCAATACCTTCATATAAACGTAAATCAGAATCTTGAGTGATCTAGGACAAATTTGGTGCACCAGTGGGGCCACTTATTAGTTTTCATAAAGAAAAACCTCTGAAAAAAAAAGAAAAAAAATCAAGTTAAAGTTAACAAAAAATTACTCTTTCTGTTACTAAAAATAAAAATCCTGGTAGAATTTTGCATCATCATGAATTGCAGCTTGCCAGGTTTAGGTGAAAAGCCCTATGCACCAGGAGTTTAAAAGTTAAAATATTAAGATTCAATCTAACTGAAGAACATATGCTCTTAATTCTTTACTTTCCAGTGTCTGACTTTGAAGACAGGCAATGGATATCACTCCATCAAATATCCTTTACCTTCCTATTGCCTCCCACATGCAAATGAGTGATATCTGGGTAATATTTATGTCGTTAATACACACAGGAAAAAGCTTAAATTCAGAATTCGAGATAGATTGTGGATACACTGGATATTGAAAAACTACATCTCATTCTGTAAAAATATTATTTGTATTTCACTACCCAAATTTTACTGACATGACAGTGAGCTTGACTAGCTCTAGAACAGATGGAACTCATCAGGACATTTAGGTATGTGCACGTACATCTCAAGTTAGTTTTTGATCAAAAAGGTTGGAGTGGGGAACAATCAAGTATCAATGCCTGGTAAAAGACTCCCCCCACAGAAGAAGAAGTCAAGGAGTTTGGTAAATCATTGTGTTGATATGCAGAAGTCTTGGTAATCAAATCATGACTCACACAGTTCTTCTCATCTCCCACATAGATTTGGGTTTTCAAGCAATTTTCCCTACAATAAGAGACAAAGTAAAAAAGTTAGAGAAAAGTAAGTCAGATCTCTCTAGAGAAGAAAACACTGAAACATATCAAGAAAAATGTAACACTTTTCCCCCAAGCTTACTCTGAGGATATGTAAGACAGCTAAAACCTTTATCAACCTGAACTGACATTGCCAACTCCACAGCAGGATTTATAGCAGGTAACAATTCTGAAAGCCACAATGTGCATCCAAATTAAGCACACAGCGCAGGGAAGAATGTCATCCTTCTCTGACAAAAAGTTCAATTTTCCGGAATAAAACACACTTTTATCCACATTTCCTTGGCCTAGTGAGAGTAAGAGAGAAAAATAGATGGCAAAGAGTAGTTAGGCTCCTTAAAGAATGACTGGCAGGAACTTGATGCTGATAGTGAGAGCAGAACTAGAGGCAATACAGACGCGGTAACAAAACTAATCCTCATTACATGGCCTAACCGAGGCAGGAAAGGGGAAAAGGGCACTGTGAAAATTAATTTCATGATTAATGGAATTCAGTATGTGTTCTGCTTTTGTTCTATTTGCATTGATTAATGCTATCAGATCTTTCTCTTCAAACACTGTGGCTGTATTCTCCCTGTGCACAGTTAAATCATAGAAGGGCCCATGCTCACTTTAGTCCTGTGTCTTGCAGAGTGGCACAAAAAATAATGAAAATGCTGCTACAGGTTACTTCATTGGTATTTTAATTGCAGTAATATACTTCTGCTGTCATAAAATTTTAGATACAATTTAAACTTGGTGGAGCTGTGAGACATAAACTAGATAAAGGGGAAGATTTATAAGTAAATTCAGCCCTGAACTGGAGGATTAATGAAAAACGAAGCATTCTGGTTGCAACATTAGTCTCTGGAATGGCATTAATAATGTTATAGAGGAAAAAATTATATTTTATATTATAATCAAAATTTCATTAGCATTTCAATAAACTGAAAGTCAGTGCTTAGAACACCAGCAAAACTAATCATTTTTAAAGTCCACAGTAGGTCTGCAGGCAACTTGGCTCATTTATTCTAAATGTGCATTTTAATGGTCCATTTTGCCTTTGGAAAAACAAAAACTTTGACAATTTCAAGATTAATCTCTGCAATTGAGGGTGCTGTAAATATGGAAGAAAATGAAACAGCATAAAATGTCCATCTCCCTCTTCTCCTTCTCCTTCTCCAATCTCCCTGCCACGAACTACACATGAAAACAGGACCCGATTTTATTTCTAATGTAATGTGCCTGTACATATTTGAGAAAAAAGAGTAAACAATTGATATCCTGATTGATAAATTACTCAAATAAGAGATCCAGCATTACTGGGTTACTTTATAGTGTGTGTTTGACTGACCCTGGTTGGATGGCAGCTACCCACTCAAGCTGCTCTGTCACTGCCCTCCTCAGCCGGACAGGGGAGAGAAAATGCAACAAAAGGCTCATGGATAGAAATCACTCAGCAGTGATTGTCATGGGCAAAACAGACTTGACTTTACAGTATTTAAAAACTGATTGCCATGTTTAGCTCAGTTTTAGTTACACTTTTCATTCTTCAGATCACCAGCTAACTCATAAATCAATCAAGGTCTTAGCAACAAAAAACCCCTGCTATTGAATATTGAAGTCCAAACAGATTTACCTTTAAATGTAATAGAAAGAAACAGACATATCTGCTGATGATTCATCTAGTCTAACAGATGTCTCAAATGAGAAACAACACACTCCTGGAGTAATTGAGACATCAGAATTGATGACCACACAGAGAAAGTCCTCTTTAAAAGGTAGTTCCTGACCCTGAGGCAACCACCTTTCCTCTCTCACCTGCCTGGTGAGAGCCACAGTGTCTTGGATTGCCAAGCGAATTGTGTTCTATTTGCCATCTGTGTGGCAGTTATCTTCTGTTAATTGGGCAGTTTTCCTTATCTCCTCCAAACCACTCCTCCCTCAGGGAGACATCTGCTGATAACAGGCTGTTGAATGTCACTGCATGACTGATAAGAACTACAGCATCCCATTGTGAGATGCTCCACCCATGGGGGAGAGTCAAACATTCCTAACTGGATATAGTCTGGAGATTCTGGAATACCAGCATGGCTTCTTCACTGGATTCCCCAGAGAAGCAGCTGCCTCTTCCACTGGATCTTCAGATCCTTTCTACAGGATCCCTGCTCCAACAGAACCACACTTGACACTCCAGGAGGACTGCAGCCACCATTCCAATGGGACTGCTACCAACACCCTGACCAACAGGGTGTCAGGTTGTGTTCTGACTCTGTCAGTGTTTTTTAGTTTACTGTATTGTTTATTTTATTTTCTTCCCTAATAAATAACTGCTATTCCTGCTCTCATATTTTTGATTGAGAGCCCCTTAATTTAAAATCTATAGCAATTTGGAGGGAGGGGGTTTACATTTTCCATTTCAGGGGAGGCTCCTGCCTTCCTTAGCAGACACCTGTCTTTCCAAACCAAGACACACTGTAAGAGCCTTCATTAGATACTTGCTGTCCTCTATGACTCCCTGGAAATCCTCTTGCATAAATGTCCCTGTGAGTTCTTTCCATCCCCCATTAATGCAGAGGGTCCTTTGGCAGAGATGAGAGGTTTCCAACAGCTGAACACCCAAAGGAACATACTGATGGGAAAAAGGGTGGGAAACGGGGGAGGATGTGTGGAATCTGGGGCAAAAGGCTGCATACAACTGCCATGAACACTTGATTGAGAAAGAAAAAGGCTCACCAGGGCTCATTCAGGTAATGTCCCCAATCAGGAAACTGCTGGAGGACATGATTTGAGTCAGAGCCCTGATTACATACTGAAGTTCATCAAATTAAGGCCAGCATGTTTCAGATTGATTTTTTTTCCCTAGATAAAGTGTTTTTTATGGAAAATATGAAAGTGGTATAGATCAGGAAATCATTTACAGAACAGAATGCATTTAGGATACCTCTGGTCTCCAGCATGATCAGAGTGAGAGGATTACACTGCAAGACACGTCAATCAATAAGCTGTGTGAGGAATCCTCCTCTCCCCACTGCTCTCATCTATATTTTTCTTGTTACTCCTATATCTCAGAGCACATAGTACTAAATTAAAAATAAAATTAATAGCATTTATTCTATCTGTTTTTTACATGCTTCTCCCTTTGCCTACGGTCTATCAATCTGATTTATGTTTCTCCTCTTTTTCCTATGTTTTCATCATTTGTAGTTTCCCCCAAGCCAGAGAAGTTACAAGGTGGTAGGGATTGAATCCTAGTTTATTTATATGGAGGAAATAAAAAATGCACTTCCATAACTGTAATTTTTCTGTTGCAGCTCTATGAACCCCTGACGAGTCACATCATTCAAGTTACTAGTTTTCAGTAAACAAGCAGCTGGATTTTGTTGTATTTATTCCTTCCTGACAATTCAGTCTCATCTACTGTAATGATATAGAAGAAAAATAAAATCTTGGGTAGTATATTTTTAACAGAAAATCTAATGTAAAAGACCTCTGAGACCATGTTCAATGTCAACTTTATAGTATTTTCCAGGATTTAGTTATGGAAACATCCACATTATCTATAGAAAATGATCCTGATTTACAACAGCAGAGCTGCTGAATCTTGAATGTTTTCACACAACTAATTTGCAAAGAACAATTTTTTTTTCTGGAAATTTCTAGGTATTCTTTTAAATTTCTTATATCTGTCAAAAAGAAAATAAAAAAGGACAGAGGGAAATAAAGGCTGTCCTGTGCTTGCATGTCTGAACCTTGCTTCAGACAAGAGACTTCAAACTTTGAAGAGTGAGCTGAAGTGATTGACTGCTAGGGGAAGACTGCAATTAGTCCCAGCAGCTTGACAGGTTACTGCCTTGACCCAGACCCTGAGGGAATCTCCTCCCTGTCCTATGAATGGTTCCTCCACTGCTGCAGTCAAAATAAGCTGAGCTGTTTCTCTTCCCAGCCTCTCCAAAGGGCAGCACTCGCTCAGGTCAGCAGAGGGGGCAGCAGAAGGCAGGGAGGGCACTGAGCAGGAGGAGAAGGAACAGCAATTAGCAAGGGAAGGCTACAGGCTGCAGCCTCTGCTGGTGACATATTTGCAACCCAGGGAGTTTCCTCCTTGGAGGAGTAGCCACCTCTAAACCCCTGCTCTCTCTGTGACTACAAGTATAATCAGTAGCCTTGCACTATGCAGCTTCCTATAGCTGACTATCCCAGGTTTTGAGAACTCAGCCTAAACAGTCTGTGAAACTTTTGACATCAGTTGACCTTCTGACCATGCACTTGAGTAAAACCTGTTGAATAATCCTCCATAAGTAGTACTCAATGTGAGTTTTGACATTTTATTGCAATAGGCATAACCCAAATAATTCTACTACTGGATATTTTAATAATTAGTCTAGAGCCCTGACTTTTAATTTTTATTCAATTCTTTGGCCAGAGTAGGGGCAGGGATGTTCCTTCCATGACAGAGGATTGCCACAAGTTTCGATGTGTGTCATGACTGAAGGATTAGCTGCAACTGCATTTCTCTGGACAATTTGATTACACTCAATGAGGGCCTTATCTTTGTCAGTACATTTATTCTATATCAAAATAAGACAGGGGGCAGAAATACTTCCTTAGAAACTCTCAATATAGAAAAAGTTGGTGATAATACGGCTTGTCTTTTATTGCACCTTAAGTGTAAAATACCTCCTCCAGGAATAATGGCTAACTGTTCTCAGTCACTCAGCTCCTAATTTGGTATTAAACTCAATTTTTCTTACATTTATTCCAGAATTGCTTAGGTATTTGTATAGAAACTCCAGTTCCATAGGAAACAGTTGAGGCATTTTTTTCCCCTGACAGGCCTCAGATATAATATTTTTTCAGTAATATTGCGTAAAATGTTACTAATGCCCATTATATGAAGACACTGATATCAAGGAATTTGGTACTTGAAAAAGGAAGATGCTAAAGTATAAATCAAAAAACTGAAAAAACCCCATAATCTTTATTCTAACCCCCCAGGTTTTTGGCTATGATGACTATTTTTCCTAGTGTCTCCTCCTAACTTAAATATGTGATTCTGGAATTCCTTCCTAATGTTAAACTGAGACAATGATAGTTCTGGCCAAAAATACTCAGAACATAGAAAATCAATATTTTGACAAATTTTTAAAACTTTCTTCTTTTAATCTTTCTTATTTCTACATTTCTTTCTCATCTCCTGCAAATTAAAGTATATGTTTAATTATTATTATTGTTACTGCTCTAGTCAGCACAGCAGTCCCCAAAATGAACACAGAACAATCACTGGTGTCCTGAGGAAAGTTACTGGGTTGCATAACTCTGAATTGCTGTTCCTCTGAACAATTTCTCTGCCTGGTCCAGGTGTTCTCACATCACAAGTGGGAGGGAGAAGGGGATTACTGGAGAGAGGGCACACACTGAAGCTGTTACAGAATCATAGTATTTCAGACTTGCAATGCTAGTTATGTCCAGAAGTACGGTTATATAACACAATAAAAATAATAGGCAATCATGAAGAAATTTGAAAGGATATGTAGCAACACTGTGTGCAGTATCATGTTCTGTTTATTTGTTGTGTAGCAGCATTAAAGATGAAAATATTTTCTGTAGAAACTCTTCACATCTAAGCAGCATTAAAACATGGTTGTTTGCACTTATGAAAAAATCTCAGGGGTTCAGAAATTGGCCCTGGTTTCTTCTGAGCTACAGAACTTATCCAAATGTTCATCTAGAGACACCTCTGGGGAACTGGCTGAACACTGTGACTCTGCAAAGGCTTTGACCTTAATGAGACAGACCTCTAGATGAAAAAAAATAATAAAAGTTGTAAATTACTAGTAATTAGGGAAGAGCTAGCTTTGCAGAACTCTAATGAATGTAAACAAAATTAAACCTCTTAAGATAGCATCACTGGCTGCAAATTTCTAATAAGTATAAACATAATAAAGTTCCTTTAGTAGTGTCATTTTTAACAGTGTTAGCCACTGTCTCATGTGAATGGCATGGATATAAGGAACAGATATTGTGCAGAGGGGATTGTTCCTATAGCTTGTCACAAAGTCTGTAAGGATCCCAAGGTATAGTTAGGATAGGTAATGGTATATTTATCAAAACTGAATGGGAACTTGAAGCTTGTTAAATGAGAACTCATGTGTGATGTAAACCTGGAAATCACAAACTCTGAATTCTGTTAACCAGCCCGATGATAATAGTTTTATTAATATTTTTATACTATGCATCCTATAGCACTAGAAAATTAGAATATGTGGATTACTGTTAATTGAATTTCTTAAGAAAATTAATGGAAGAAATTAAGGTCACAAAAGGGACAGCGATCAAGATGATTTTAATTTTATGAGTAGGAACTTACATACCTTCTTAGAGGAGAATAGCAAGTTAGGACCCAGGCTCACAAAAAGATTTTATTTTTGTTTTATATTCTCAAATGAAAGGTTAGAATGAAGACAACCTCTGTTTATTAGAATTTTGAAAATTAATTCAATAAAGTTCAGAGGCTGGAGAATGTTGTCACTTTATTTGCTGCTGTACATCTGTACTGTGAAAGTGTTTCTGTTAAACGTAAGCTTTGAGCTGGCAACTCTCCCATTATTTTAGTTTTCTGAAATGAAATAATATATCCTTCCTGATCATTAAGAGGTATAAATAGAAAAGATATTTAAAAATCCTTGTTCTTTAAATTTTCAATTATTAATGGGACATAGTGAATTATTTGTATTTTATGATTGAAGGAAGATGGACAGTTTATAGCACTACAATTTCAACTATCTAATTTGAATGAGCTAGATGCTGGGATCTCAATGGTCATTCATTTGGTGCACCATTTCTTTAATCAAAGTAGAGTCCTGCCAGAATTCAAATGGGAATGTGTTTCAATGGAATATGTTTATTTCAACATTTGACAATTTAAAAATTTTCCATCTCTTGTTTAGTTTTGAAACTCATTTCACGGAAGTGGCAGACTAGATGAAATATTATATATTATTTTTATATAATATATATTGATATTATATATAAAATTCAAAATTATAAAGTCAAAATACATCATCCAAATTAAACATTTCAAATCTATGGGAGCAGAATTCCTTTTCTAAAGGAGATCTGTCTTCCTTTATTGTGTGACCCACCTCATCTGTTGTGTTTGCCAAGCACAGGACACCGTTGCCCACTCCATATGTAGCACAGGAATATGTAGCCAAGCCTTCTAGCATCTCTGTGGGAAAGTACTTGATGGCTGGCAGAACAGCTCCAAATTGTGCTCTGACTACTACAGAGCTTCAAAGACTCTCAAGATCATATGTAGTTTGTCTAGGAGATAAAATGCATATGTTGTTTTTCACATCAAAGCAAGTCTTATTTGTTCCCCTTAATTTCCAAACTAAGAATATATACGGACACATATTTTTCTATTGCATATTTTTCATTAAAAGTAAACCATTCTCAGATAGCTAATCTCAGTTTTGACCTCTGTGAAGTCAAAAACCATATGTATCCTTAGAATGTATTTCTGTGTGTGTTTTATGAAAGAATTTTGTCCTTATAGGATTGATAAATTGAGCGTACACAAACACCTTTGAAATAAATTTAGTAAGGAACTGTTTATTACTGCATAGATTACTTGCTGACAGTAAGCAAGTTTTAAGATACAAGAATTTCCAGTGAGGGTTAAAATTAATTGACTTTTGTTTGGTTGGTTTTTCATAGTAAATCCTTAGGAAGCTTGAAAACATTGCTTTAGTCAATTTGCTGAAGAAGGCTTTCATTAGAGATATACTGAGCAGTGCTTTAATCAGTACATAAATCCACCAATTCCAGATAATTGGTGCTAATCACCATTTCTCAACATAAAAGCAAGGATTTTTGTCAACACTAAGGTTGAATGATAGATGAAGGCACAAGGCCTTCAGTCCCCTTGCAAGCTCACCCTTACTCCTGGAACAGAGCTGTTCACTGTGCTGAAGTTGTGCTAGATGTACCAAAGGCCACAGACTAATAAAAATCACATACCTGCAATTATGAATTTGGCCACTTTGCAAGAAATCTGTCCAGTTGTCCAGTGTAGGCACCTGCCTGCATTTTCATAGCAGGAAGACCGGGCAGGTAGCGCCGAGTGCCTTGTATTCAGGCAGCTATGCTTACTCCCTCCTTACCAAAGCAGAATAATTGCATCCAGTCTGCTTTCTTTTGGACTCTCCTCAGTCCTTCCTCACCCTTGAGCAATGACCAAGAAGTGTTTGGAAAGCACATGCGTTTACACTGCCACAGTTTTGTCGTGAACTCTGCCAGCAGTTCCGCATGGTGTTTTGTGTTCTATTACAGATATGGCCCCTTTTCACACAATCTGAAGTGCCTGACAAATACTGTCCACGATACTCCAGCCACTCAAAAAAATGGGAACTGGGAAAAACTGGAATCTGTTCTCTTGTATCATGTAGTAATGGCATAAAGATGAGAAAGTCTTTGATTTTTTTAAAGTGTTGTGAGGAGATAGAACATAAGTAAATACAGGTATATAGAAGGTAATCTTACCCCCTAAAGAGTTGCAGCTGAGGCAATTATTAAGGATTAGGAGCAGGCCTGATGTTAACAGGCCACAGCTGTAGCCAATGAGAAGAGTGTTATAAAAGAGTGGATTGGTTGGCTGAGGGAACAGCAATCAGTTGGCTGCTATGAGGACATGGGAGAGTTAGTGCCTGGAGGAGCTGCCTACAAGAAACATCAAGGAGGTATGAAACTGGCAGTGTGGAACCTTTGCAATGTAATGACCATTGAACCTTTGTAATGTAATGACAACAAAGTGTTGGCTATCGTGTTTGAAAATATATTATTTCAAAGATCGTTTGCTTCAAAAGAATACTGGTGAGTTCAATATCTTTGTTAGCCCTGAAAAACTCAAAAGGCCCAACTCTATCTATTAAAGACTATGCTTCCCTCAGGTCATTCTAAAATGAAAAAAATACCTAGAGGATTATACAGCCTTGCTCTCACTAAAAATGGTTAGTTGTACAGCAAAAAGACTTACTCATATGTGACAGAGGAGAAAAAAATTGTGTTACTGCACAGTGGGGAAGATTGCAATAGGACAGCTGTGAACTAAACAACTGCTCTGGAAGGCAGCCTTGCCACCCATTCACAGTGAGCGCCAGAACAGGAGGCTCCAAGCACACCTTGTCCCTCGTTGCAGACCCTGCTGGTAAGGTTTGGGCTATAATTGTCTAAATACTTCTCCTCACCTGACCCAAACAATAGGCTTTAGGTTAGGATTGTTACCAGCCATCGAAGTATTCTGGGCTTGAATCCCTTCAAGGCTGAAAAGGGAATTCAACTGTTCTCTTTTCCTCAGGATAAGTGCTTTAAATCAAAGTTTAGAATATAAAAGCTGGGAGTAGTATATTTATGCTGTTTTAAAGGTAGATCCTTGCAGTGAGTTTTTCAGCTAACTAAATCAAATATAAATTTTCTAGGGCAGGTAGAAGAGGTCTCAGCAAACTTGATAAATGAATGCCTAGTTACTAGACGTATCTAGTCCATGAAGTCGGGTTATTGAAAGCAGATTTTTGAAAGCAAGTCTGTTAGACTTTAAACTGCAAGTAATTATTCCTATGTTTGAGATTTAAATTATTTGTCTGGCTTTATACTGCTCAGATGGCTTCTATGTGAAACAGATGGCTCAAGTCTAACAAAAATGTACATGACATGGTCTCCCTTGTTAAGTAATTTTAAAAATTTCTTTCCCAGAATTTAAAAATTGGCAAACATTGCACCAAAGTTTTCTAGCAGACCCACAGTTTTTAGATGCTGTTTCACAGGACAGAAAGTATTCTTCATCCAGATGTCTGATTATAAGGTCTTTTTTTAACGTTAAGAACATAAGAATCACCTTCTTGGAACAGATCAGTACTCCATGCTGTCTGCCAGGGAGCAGTGTTAGAGGTTTAATGTCATAATGCTGCATCCGACACATCAATGTATAACCATTTCTAGTGCAAAATCATGCAGATTTTGGCTATGCAGTAATCTGTCTAATATCCCATTCCTCTTATGTATCATCTTATGCATGCTTCATTTTTAATTATCCACTTTGTAAAATATAAATCTAGTTTCTGAGCAAAATGCCATCTTCTACAGAATCAGCTTTCTTCTGCAAGATGAAGTAATCACCTCTCCACTGCAAATATGTCTGAAATGCTATGGTCAGGAAAAGGATAGGTCACAATGGATGGTCATTGTGGTGTTTTCTGGTGTAAAATCTACCTGCATAATACTGTAACTATGCATTGTGTGATCTTAAACTACCTGAAATCCATATGGTTTAGCTAAATTAATGCACAGGCTTTACAGCCTATCATGTCTTCCATTTTGCCAAGTTCAGCTGAAAAATATAACAGGATGAATTTGGGGCTTTGTTAGGCATATCTGGATGGAGAGAACATAATGTTTTTGAAGTAGAATGTGGAGCTTTAGCCACCTGTCTCCAATTATACTCAGTGTGACTGCAAGATTAAAATGCCATCTAGCTCACTGTGAAAATATGGCCCATAGCATCTCCTTTTAGCTCAGGAGCATTAATGTTAATAACACCCTAACAGAGAATCAATTTTATTTTGATACTCTCAGTGATTAAGTATTTTATACAGAGCTCTGGCAACACTTTCATAAACTCTCAAACACAAAATTGGAGTTGAAAACATGTACTGGCACTGACAAAAACTGCATGTGAAAGAGTTTTTGCTAATTGAATGACTAGCACAAATGGTACCTAAGAGAAGTATGGTCACCTGAAAAATTCATGTGAAGCATAATATGGAATAAAAAAACCTGTGAAAATAAAAGAGCATTTATTTCAAGTTAAATTATAAGACTGGAATGATATTGTTGTTGTTGCTGTTGTAATTTTTTGAGTGCATGTCTCCTTTGCCCTTTGAAAAATCTATGCAAAACTGGCCAGTACTTTGGTTACTACTGTACATAAAATTCTGTAACTGCTACTGATGTCAGATTTATTTTCTAGACTTCCTCTATTCTTATTCTGAGTTACAATGCTCCAAGGTCATAACACCATTGAGAAATCAAGACAAAGCCATAAAAAAAGCCATTCACAGTCTTTCAAATTGATAGTTAAGTATTATTTCTGACAAATTCACAACCTGAAGGTAAAAAGATTAGCAAACCTGGGCCATCCTGACAGATATGTTAACTATGGAGATACTGCTGAAGTTATTATATTTAGAGTGTTGAAACATGATTTTCCATTTTAAGCTTCAGGTGTTTCATTTCAAAGTGCAAACAGGTACATTTGCATTAACTTCAGCTGTCTAAGATTTTGTGTTGTTTAACAAGTGCTTCTCTTTAAATTCCTTTCTAGAAACAAAGGCCAAAATAAAATCTGAAAAAGAGTAACTATTGAATCAGACTCAGAAATTTGTATGTCACATTTTTCATGCAAGATTCTGATCCTAAACAGGACAGTTTGGACTGTCTTTACTACCTCATACAGTCATGTGCTTTAGAGATGATAATTCTGGAAAAGGTTAACAAGTCAAGTACTAGACTTTTTCAGAGCAGAGGTCTTTGAATTACCTTTACATCAATGCATGCTTTTTTCAGATAGATTTTTTTCCATGAACTGATTATGAAATTTTAACAGTCTGCATTTGGTATACAAAGCATGAGAGAGGCTTATTTTCTAGAAGCACTTATATTAGAAAACAAAGTTGTTTTCATTTCTGCTCCTTAGTGCTGAAGCATTTGATTTCTTATTGTCTTTGGAAAAGTAACATCTTTGATTTTCAAGTGGGGCAGATCAGACACACAGAACTGAATCTGAGTGTTGATCAAGTAAATCTAAATTCAGCTTCAGATCTTGTGATGGCCTGATCAGTTTTGCAAACAGCAAGGACCATAACTTACCTGATATGTTGAGAGTTATAATATGTAACCTCCCTGCATCTTGCAAAAACACTGTGGCAGAGATAGAAACAGACCTCACATCTTTTTTATACCTTTACATCATGTTTCATCCTTCAGCACTGTACTCTATATAAAAGAATAAATTTCAAAAGGAAAGGACATAAATTGTCTATTTGTATTACCGTTATTTTTTAGAACAATATAAACCCAAATTCATTCCCTGTTAAAAAGAGTCTATCATATAAGCCAGGACAGTATTCAAACAAATGGATCCAAATGATCAAGTGTATGAAATAGAATTCAATGCAGCACAATTTAAGTCATTGAGAACACCAAAATATAGAGGACCCTCTACAGATTACTAGCACAGCTGTGTTTTGACCCTGATGAATGAAGGAGTTTTTAATATCTTCTAAATGCTAGGGGAGCTGTAGAATTGCCCTTAGTGCACTCCTTGGCATTTTCTTTCAGTACGCCCTTGTGTTTGTGTGACTTTTTGTCCTGCCAGCCCACTGCCATCTCCTCTGTCCAGTCAAACAGCTTTACTCTCATCACCTGAATTTTGTGCAGAATCGTCAACACTGGAAGGATTCTCATGCTCTTGTTGAGGAAAGGAGCTTTTTAGTCTTGTTCACCTGCTTGCCTTTGTTTGTCTTTCTTTACAGATTTATACCAACTCTGGAGAATATCGACACACTCCAATTAAACTACACAGGATCATAAAATATTCTGAGTTGGAAAGGGCACAGAAAGATCACTGAAGTTCAATGCCTGGCCTTGCACAGGACACCCCAGGAACGACGCCATGTGCCTGAGAGCATTATCCAAATACTTACTGAGCTCTGTCAGTCTTGGTGCTGTGATCCCTTCCCTGAGGAGTCTGTTCCAGTGCCCAGCCACCCTCTGGGTGAAAAACTTCTTCCTGATACCCAGCCTAAACCTGCCCTCTCTCACTTCATGCTGGTTTTTTGCTCCTGTCCCTGTCACCACAGAGCAGAGATCAGTGCCTGCTCTCCTCTTCCCCTCATGAGGAAGTTGTAACTGCAGTGAGGTCTCCCCTCCATCTCCACCAGGCTGAACAGCCTCACACAACTTCCTCACCAGACTCTATCCCGTCCTCATTGCCCTCCTTTGGATGCTCTCTAACAGTTTAATAGTTTTTGGATACAATGGTGCCCAACACTGCATACAGGGCTTGAGGAAAAGCTGCCTCGAGATGAAGCGTGTGGTTTTTTTTTTCAGAAAATATTCCACTATTTTTATTAATCTGCTTTTTCTTACTACTATTAAATTTTCAATACCAGTGTTCAAATGACAGAGGCAAAAGTGTTACTCTTATGCTCTTTGATATTACACTATTATTTTTTGTATAAGAGAACAATTCCCCTGGCATCTGTGCAACTCTTGTACTTGAAAATTTAAGTAATAATCCTGAGTCTGGATTTATGTATCATGGCCCTGGCTAAGTCACTTCACTCCTGTTTATTCTCCTCTATAACATGAAGAGGAATTTGTTTCTCCATTAATTCTG